TCGGAAAGACGCAAATCTACGAAACTTTAAAAAACAAGGCATCGATTCAACTCCTGATGACAAGCCACCATCCAGCGAGGAAGCAATGCAAATGGCAACAAATCCATCAGTATGCACAAGAATTACCAGACATCGGTGATCAACGCGACAGTTACTTGCAACTAGCAAGAAAACTATATGACACGCAGGCAAACATTGTCATAAACCAAAGAATGCATCCAACAAAACAATCCAAAATAGACACATTTTTTTCCCTAAGACAGAAAAAAATAAACATTAAAATACTGTATGTATTTTACTGTTGTGATTTTTTTGGGATACACCTGTATTGCAGTTTTTGTTATATAAACAGTTTTTGGACAGTATATTTTTGTATTTTTTTGATTGTGTTGTTACACATGCATTTTGTCAACATACTTGCAGGTTCATAAAGGACATGTACCATGCTCATTTCCCAAATGAGGAATTTCTGTTATCAGGACAAATTGGACAGCGCAAACAAGAGTCCGCACTAGAGAACATTTACTGTAGTCTACCTGTATATGTAGTAGTGGTAGTTCCAATAATTGTCATTTGCATCGCACACATAGGGGTTGTGTAGGTCCCCGCTACCCCCTGTCCACTTTATTGACACTTTCCACACTGTCCACTCCCAACCATTTTTAAAATAATGCTTCGGGCTGTGTCAAAAGTTATTTTTACTGTATGACGTGACTCATCAAAAATGGATAGTAGGCCACAAACGGCCCCCTGATCATAGTTTGGACACCATGGTCTTTGATTGGTGATTGGATCCAACCTCTCACCCAAAGTCAGCTGGGATAGGCTTTAGCACACCCACAATCCTAATCAGTAAAAGTCGTTCAAACTATGGACGGATGGGTGGCTTATTACCTTTATTCGTTCCCAACACATTATCGTTAATCTAAATATTCATCACGAGTGAAATTCATCATGAGTGAAATATCACATCACATTTTAGATGATTTTTAAATGTAATTTGTTTTTGTGTTCTCTTTTGCTCGTGCTGTTAAAAGTAGGTAGCCTCACAACCATATAGAATTTAAAAAAAAAAAAAATCTAACCTTTTTATTATGAGCATGTCCATTTGCTGCCACAATGCTTCCAATTTATCCCACTACCGCCCCATTTTCTTTAGATTGGAAACAAGATGGCTATTACATGGGTGTTTGCAGAAATATGGAACCCCCCAATAAATAGCAGAGGCAATCGTATCAAGCAAACAATTTATTTAGCTAAGGGAGCACGTAAGACGTGAGGAAAAAGAAAAAGATACAGGAACAAAACACTACACACACCAAGTTAATCAACCAAATGCAGGTGAGAATATCTAAGGCGATTGGGCGACGCAAAAGAGGAGACAGCCACCAGGAAAAAATCCACTGCACAAGAGGACAGGACGAACACTACACAAGTATAAAAAATAGTCCAGCGACTCTTTCCCTTCCCTCCAGCACCTATAAAACCTACCTAGTTGTGATTACAAGCAGGTGTGCCCTGAGGACTCCGCCCCTCCATCTGTCCCGGTAACTGAAAGAGAAAAAACAAACAGATCTCCATCCATGATGGATTACAACGGTGGCATGGCTCAGCGGTAAAGTGCTCGATTGGATTGTGGGTTCCATCCTCAACCCCTTGTGACCATGTCAAAGTGTCCTTGAGCAAGACACTGAACCCTAATTATCTCCCAGTTGACCTGGCAGAGCATGGAACCAGCCTACCTTTGTGGGTGAATGTGAGGCTTTATGAAGCGCCTTGGGCACCATATGGTATTGGTAAAGTACAATATAAGTGCAGTCCGTTTGCCATTAAAGTGTTGACAGTCAGCACTTTGGTTTGATGACTCAGGTGTTGACAATGTAGGACCATGGATGGTTTTGAGACGCTGACTAACAATAAATGTATATTTTCACTGAACTGAGTCTGATATATGTTGTACACATCAAAAGCTGTGAAACTCTGCCTTGCACTGATTTCAATGTAGAATGTGAATATAAATGTATGCTCTGTGTAAACATGTTGTTTTACCTTGCAAATCATTGCTACAGAAAAGGAACATGTTCTAAATCACAGCTCGTCGTCATGGGGAGCCGTTATTGCACTGATATGCAACCTTGCATGTCATTGTTCATATGTTTGATGTGTTTGCATTTTTAGACACTTTCTGAGGAGGCACTCCTGTCAGATGTGAAACCTCAGCGTTGGTATCAGTTCAGAGTGGCGGCAGTAAACAGTCAAGGCAGCAGGGGCTTCACCACACCAAGCAAGCACCACATCTCCAATAAAGGTCAGCCTGTTGAGCTGTGCTCTCCTCGCTTGATAGTGAAACTCAATGTTGTATCTTGAGCCAGTGATCAACACATCAAGGCCTCCTTCATTCTTGCCAATGTGTGAGGGATAATGTAACTCTCTGAGGGCACGTCAGTCACTGAGAATTGTTTGTCTCTTTGACACTTCTCTCTCACTACATGAATAAAAGGGAAGGAAGTTTAAATGAGATGGGATCTCATTAAGGACACAACACACACTCATATACTTTATGCTAATATTCATCGGACTCCGTTTTTATATGGTCTTATTGGTGTTATGCTATAATTAGCCAAAGCATGTCTGCATTTGACTTCAGGGTAACCGGATCTCTTTAAACCTTTATCTGTTGAGACTTTGTCTGAAGTCTAATTTTCAACCGCAGTATAAACAAAATTGGAATTCCTGCATGACATTCTCCTTGCAGATCACTTTGGCCCTTTCACCGCATTCAAGGAAAAGTCAACATGTTCGGAAAAAGGTGTGATTTGCTTCTTTGCAGGGACTCACACAACAATATTGATACCACTCTCACATCTGTCCTTCATACATAAGACTGTTTAGCATAATGACTGGAGACAGTGGTAAGAATCTGGTTGTTTTTGAACTACGAAACCAAGAAACACAATAGGGCTGCCACCAAAATGTGCTTAACGTGTTATAATCAGAATTGTTTTGCTCTTGAAAAAGGTGTGAGAGTGTACCGTTTTTATATTTATGCTTGACAAATGTATCTTTCATCACCTGTATTTTATTTTAAGATTTGCTCAGACCAAGGATAGTGCCTCAGCTGTTTCTCTTGGCTCTCTCTTGATTGTTGGCTTCATACTAATTCTGTGCATGCATGTGTGTGTGTGTGTGTGTGTGTGTGTGTGTGTGTTAAATTGGGGTTCATGGTGAAAGGTAAAAGACACACACGCTGACATTCCAAATACCATCTGATAGCAGTCAGAGTCGTATGTTTCTAGTTTACTGGACTGATTAGTCAGGGGCTAGGGGTCATGGGTTACAAATCAGGAAGCTAGCAGATGTCAAACAGGTTCATCCTATGTTTTGGGGTCTCCCCGTGTGACCTCACTAGTCGACAGTGCCGCTTGCCTTTGTAATCATCAGGGAATGTGGATTGTGGAACTCATCCTGATGTCTTCGTCTTGTAAAATACTGGACTGAAATCTATCTGGCTGAGGGGGGACAAAATAAATTTAGGCCTTCGAGAAACATTCTGTATGCAAGCACACAGTAAATGAGCAAGTCCACCAATTCTAATATTAAACTTTGGCCTGTGCATAAAGGCCAACCAGGTAAAGTCTCTGGCCAGTGGGAAGCCTGCCATGGGGGATGTGGTTCTAATCAGATCCTTTTTTTGTAGTTGTAATTAAATACAGGGCTATGAAGTACTAACGAGACACAGGTTCTGTGTTGTAAGAGCCGCGACCTCACGATTTGCTCCTCGAGGCAAATGTAGACTTGCAGTGGATGTCTTCAGTCTATGTTGTGGTAGCTACTGAAAAAGTTATTGTCATGCTTGTCCAGTCTCGCTCACCTTTCATGCTATTAATCGAATTGGCTGAACAGACTCCATTGAGACCAAGAGGAAATTAGCCTTTTCCCCACAGCTTATCCTGTCAAGGGTCATGGCAGGGGTTGGAGTTTAGAGATATTGAAGACTTGATTTTATCATTACACTACAGAGTTTTGCATTTTGTTAATTAATGTTCAACCTTTTGTATGACGAGTTGGCATCATGCACGGCCAGATAAAGCACTCCTTGTGGCTAAAGCCCATAGCGAAATATAAAGATTTTGCTTGAATGACAATCCCTTTCTATCTCTCTCCCTTTTGCTGCAGACCCGTCAGCTCCAGACCCTCCAATAAATATTCGGGTAAGCAACCAAACTCTGGTTGGGATGACTTCACTAGCAGGATCTCACTTCACAGAAAGGTATTGAGCAAACATAAACACATAAATTGTTTATTTTACTTTGTATTTGCTGGTGCTGTTGATAAGTATCTTTTCTGCGCATTTGATCAGCAGTTATATTCATCTACTGGTAATCAATCAATTAAATAATAGAGTCACTGTATACTGTAGTTTCCCTTCAAAATAAATGAGCAAACATTTACAGAAAGGTCAAAAAAGGTGACAAAAGCCACAATATAATCAGACGACTAACGAAGAGCAATTTTATCGCAATATCAATTACTTCAAATTTACCCACCTTTATTTTTGATCAACAAAACAGGCCATAACCAAACCAACTCCATATTCAAAACCACTTTTATCCCACAAAACAAACACCATAAAATGAAATTGCACAGACGAGGACACGATTCACAACCGCAACAGAAAAAAAGCAGCAGAGACCCAAATTACATCAAAAGAAAGGGCAAAATAAGTAAAGTACAATAATCAGTCCCAGTCTTAAAAACTGGGCATCAAATCCATATCCCTTTATGACATGTTTCGTGAAATGTGGAAACCCAAACCATCTCTTTCCTAAACTAATGAGGTTACTATAAGCCTTTGCTTGAAGGACTTGTCTTAGGGAGGGTGATGAATTCAAGACCACTTAGGGAACTAGTTGCTGGAGACATGTTAGTTTGACTCCTGAAAATAATTTTTCCAAGTATTGCACTGTCTTGTTGCATACTGGGAGTTGACTGGCGTTTATGTATGGTGTGTTTTGACATCTTGACCTCTCTCCTCAGGTCAGGGGGGAGTGGAATCACTGTGACCGTCTTAATACACTGGGACCCCCCTCAGGATGGAGACTTGCCAGTCCACAACTACAGAGTCACATGGATGTCTCGACATAGGACACAAAAAAACACACACCTAGCACATGCAAACATGCATGAATTACATAACAACATGCGAAACCAGTTTACACAGCCACATGCACACCAGGAGAGTAAAAAAAGGAGCAACAGCAGGGTGACCCAGGGGGTAAGGAACTCTTTATTCACATTAATTAGAAAATGCAAGGGCACCCTAGTGGTCGACTGGTTCGCGGGTTGGCCTCACAGTGCAGAGGTGCATGATTTGATTCTGGCTCTGGCCTTTCTGTGTGGGGTTTGCATGTTGTGCTTGGGTGGGTTTTCTCAAGGTACTCCGGTTTCATCCCACGTTCCAAAAACATGTGTGGTGTACAGTTCAGGGTGTACCCTGCCTACTGCCCGAAGACAGCTGGAATCGTCTCCAGCACACCCCACGACCTGTGTGAGGATAAGTGTATCAAAAAATGGATGGATGGATGGATGGATGGATGGATGGATGGATGGATGGATGGATGGATGGAGTGATAGACAGGAGGGGCAGAGGAAGTGGTGGTAATCAATTTACATTACATTTGAATTTGTTTGTTCACAAAAAAATGCTTCAAAAGCCATTGTTTTAGGACAGTGTATGATACTTAAAAATCATTGGAGGCCTGTCTTGGAGATTTTTCATGCAGAATGTCCGTCTCAGTCTTCTATATCTATTCTGTTGTAAAACCTGAACAGATTTATGCTCTTGTGTTTAAGGTGTATGCTACTAAAGCACGCAGATAAACAGCATAGTTAAAGATGTTAGAGCTACATAATAATTATTTAAGATATGAAATAGAGAATGACAGCATCCATCGAAGTTTTCCAATGTTATATTAAAAGCTTAATACAGGTAGGATTCAAGACTTTCTACACATTTTCTGACTTTTTTTGTTTTTACTTTGAAATGTTGTTTATACTGTTTGTTCGAAATACAATTGTTTTGCGTTAGACAAGCATAACTTTGTCAAAAGAGCTAAGATACCATTTTGGTCGGGTGATAAAGCACTGATATAAAATGACGACTGAGCCCCGTAACGTGCCGTGAAATATTATTTGCCCCCTTCCTTATTTTTGTGTTCTTTGCATATTTATCACATACAAAAGTTTCAGTATACCAAACCAATTTTAATATCACACAGACACTACCCAAAGAAATGCAAAATGCGGTTTTGAAACGCCAATTTAATTTAGTAAGGCACAAAAAAATCCCAAACCACCTGTCCCTATGAATAAATAACCCACTCCCCCGCCCTCCGACAGTTTTGGGAAAGCTGAGTTCAATTTCACAGGCAACACCCTTGCACCACATTTGTCGAATCTAGAAATCACATAAATAGAATCTGTCAGTCAAAGTGAAGTCGGCTACAAGATCTCAAGAAACAAACACATCATGCCATGAGCTGAAGAAATTCAAGAAGAAATTAGAAAAAAAGTTATTGAAATATATCAGTCTGGAAAAGGTTACAAAGCCATTTCCAACACACTGGGGCTCCAGCGAACCACTGTCAGAGCCATTACCCACAAATGGATAAAACTGGCAACAGTGATAAACATTCCCAAGAGTGGTCGACCAGCTAATATTACTCCAAGACTGCAACGACGACTCATCCAGGAGGTTGCAAAAGAACCTAGAACAACACCCAAAGAACTCCAGACCTCGCTGGCCTCAGTTCAGATCAGTGTTCTCTACCATAAGAAAGACTCTGGCCAAAAATGACATCCATGGGAGAGTTCCCAGGCAAAAACCACTGCTGTCCAAGAAGAACACAAAGGCTCATCTCACATTTGCCAAAAGACATCTTGATGATCCTCAAGACTTTTGGGAAAAAACAGTCTGTGGACTGATGAGACAAAAATTGGACTTTTTGGAAGATGTGCAGCCCGTTATGTCTAGGGTAAAAAATGGCACCTCATTTGATAAAAACATTATATCAACAGTGAAGAATGGTGGTTGCATTGTGAAGGTCTGTGGCTGCTTTACTGCCTCAGGACCAGGACAACTTGCTGTGATTGATGGGACAATGAATTCTGCTGTCTCCCAGAAAATCCTGAAGGAGAACGTCCGACAATAAGTTTAGGCCCTCAAACTCAAGTGCTCTTGGATCATACAGCAGGACAACGATCCAAAACATACCAGTAAGTCCACCTCTAAATGGCTAAAAAAAACAAGATTAAGGTTAGGGAGCGGCCAAGTCAAAGTCCGGATTTGAATCCAATTGAGATGCTGTGGTGTGACTTTAAATGTGAAGTTCAGCTAGAAAACCCTCCACTATGGCGTAGTTGAAGCCATTCTGTGAAGAAGGCTGTGCCAAAATTCCTCCATAGCAACATCAATGACGAATCATCAATGATTGCAAACGCTTTATTTCAGGTATTGGTGCCAAGAGGATTAGGGGGGCAATTACCTTTTCACATAGGGACAGGTGGGTTTAGATTTTTTTCTTGCCTCAGGAAATTAAATTGGCATTTAGAAACTGCATTTTGTATTTCCTTGGTTTGTCACTGTGTGATATTAAAAATTGTTTTGATTAACTGAAATCTTTGTGTGAGATAAAATGCAAAGAACACAGAAATTAGGAAGGGGGCAAATAAGTTTTCACGGCCCTGTAGATTAGCTGTACCCAAAGAGATTTGACTATTCTGCAGTCTGCTTTTTCTGAATAGTGTTGAAATCAGATGAAAACAATGTAATGTATGAGCCAGCCTGTCACGAGACAATAGTTAGTCACAATGAGCTGATTTGCAAAATATGGATGACAAATACCGTAAGTAATTGTTGAGTGAATGCAGGAGCCAAAACTCTTCCAGGTAGAAACACGTCTGTCTCTCTGTAGGTCTCGTGTAATGTTCAACAGGTGTTCAAACTTGAGGTTTTTGTGCAATTTTTGAGAGAAAAAAAAATGTGGAGATGTGAATAAATCAGAATTTCAGTTTCATCAGAAGTTTCTGTTGTATATATTTTGATCATGTATCAGAACTTAAGCCTCAACTTTAGCCTCAATATATGAACATAAACATGAAGGTTTTAAACCTTTTAGTGCAAGTTTGCTCATCTGGAATAAGCTATCCTCAATACAGTAGTGATGGTGATCCCAGACTAAGCCCGTTGGAGCCATTTATCTTCAGTCAGGTCCTCTGTTCTGCTTGACTGGGAGGCCAGGAATTTAAATAAGGGCTCTTACAAGTGTTTTTTACTCGCAGCTGCATCTACTTACTAGAAACAGAAAGAGACAACATCACAACAGGTAGCAGCAAGAAGAACAGAGGCACAAAATGTGTAATGTGCTGGTCATTTCAGTGCCCATCGTTAAAGAAAATGAAGCTCATGTTTCTGTCAAGTAGGATTTTATGCATTTTGTGGGATATGCAGCATTAACAATGTAAAAGAATATTGAAGGAAGCTTCCTCAAACATGAACATCTTTGCAGAATTAGTGGTTATGACTACTTTTTTTCATGTAATATCCTCTGACATTAAACACTAGAATCGAAATCCAGGCTTTTTTTTCACAGTGCCGCATATGTGTACACACGCACACACACACACACACACGCACACACACACACACACACACACACACACACACACACACACGCACACGCACGCACATGCACACGCACACAATTGCACAGGCCATATGTTTTGTCTATCTTGTTTGCACTAGAAATACTTCAACCTCGTTTTCGCTGCTAAACACCAAAGAACCGCTTTTAGCTCAGGTCTGTGACATTTTGGCTTACACACGTACACGCACACACACGCATACACACACAAACACACGCACACACACACACACACACACACACACACACACACACACACACACACACACACACACACACAAAAGTGTTATCGTCTAAACATCTCTTTGTTGTGGCTGGTTCAGGTCCACACAGGCAGACGAATTTGATTGACTAAGAGTCACTAATGAGCTGTCAGTCAAACAGTGGTCTAATACAGAACAGGTCTGGCCTGTCAGTCAAATGGGAGGGCACACACATCCGTCACTCTGTGAACGGTGGGGGGGGCTATTGAAGAATATGAAGGCCTGGTGGATGATGAATATAACATTCACAATGCCTCTGGTGGTTTTTGAAGCCACAGACCTTTGGCATAATTTCCTTAGGACACCAGTCAGGAGCCTGAAAAAACATTGGAACAGATTTAATAGTGAAAATTCCATTTTTTTAAATCATCTTTCCATTTTTATGTTGTGTCATAGGTGCAGTGTGATGTGTGGCTACAGGGTCTTCGTCCTGAAACTTCCTACTTCCTCTCTGTACAATCAGTGGCCTACTGGGGTCAGAAGAGACTAAAGAGCCCAAGAGCCCACATTGTCTTTACTACAGTCCCTTGTAAAGGTAAATGATGTAAAATGTCCTGTTAGTGACTTGACATACTTGGCTGTTGATTTCTGATATGAGAGATGCATTATAGGATCGGACAATAAAATCTCATGCGAGAGCAGGGTCAAAACTATTGCCTTTCAAAATAAAACTGGAATAGTGCCCATCAAAGCCAATTTTTAAGTTGGGAAAAATTATTATTTTTGGGTGTCTGCATGCTGCTTCCTGGGTCGTAAAGTAGAACAAAAGATGTCATGAGCATACGAATGGTGCCTTTTTCATAAATTCCCGTATCCATTTAGTATCGCAAGTCTTGACGAAAATATGATGCGGGGGTTCTAACTTGACCCATGCAACATTTCTCCATAGAGTTGAATGAAATTGTCGGGCTGTGCTAAACTGGTACTCCAGCACTTTTCGTTCTTTTATTTATGATGGAAGAAGCCAATGGGGTGGCACGGTGGCGATGGGTTAGCACGTGCACCTCACAGTGCAGAGGTGCAGGGTTCGATTCCAGGTCGGGCCTTCCTGTGCGGAGTTTGCATGTTCTCCGCATGCCTGTGTGGGTTTTCTTCGGGTACTCCTGTTTCCTCCCACATTCCAAAAACATGCATGGCAGGTTAATAGAACACTCTAAATTGTCCCTAAGTGTGAGTGTTGTGTGTGATGGTTGTTTGTCTCACTGTTCCCTGGCTGGCAACCAGTTCAGGGTGTAACCCACCTATTGCCTGAAGATGGCTGGGATAGGCTCCAGCACACCCGTGAACCTCGTGAGGAGAAATGGATTCGAAAATTGGTGGTTGGAAGCGATTGGGCAAACTGAAATGGACTGCACCATTTCAATTTTGGGGAGAACGAAAGAAAGAAAGAAAGGAAAAAAATCCAACCATTCATTGTCCGAGCTGCCCTATTGGCTTCTTCCATTCTAAATAAAAGAATGAAGAATGTCTCGAATCGAACCCTGAAGAAAAAAGAAGTGAAAAAAAAGCAGAGAGAGAGAGAAAGTGAGTGAAAGAATTTAAGAACATATCATGTAGCTGTCAAAATCCTGACAGAGTAAAACAAGTTACAACAAGTAGGAATAATTTCGCATACTGGGTTGTAAGAATATAGTATAGTAATACTCTAAAGCAGGAGTGCCCAATACGTTAGTCCCAATCGACCAGTAGCCCACAGACTGGTCCCAAGTCAATCGCGAGGAGTGGGGGGGGGGGGGGGGGGGGGGGGGTGAATGGAAAAAAAAAAAGATTTTTGTGTCTATGGGCATGTTTTTGTTTCTATTTTTGTGTTTGTGCACACTGCACCCTAAGCATCCTATCAATTTCAATTAAAACAAAAAAATCAAGTCACCTTTAACATACGGTGGTGCGTGACCTGCATCACCAGAAGTTGTTAGCGGTCAGCAGTCCGCAATTGCAGCTTGCTATCAGAGCTGTTGAGATATATCTTTTTTTATTATTATTATTTTTCTCATTCAAAGTTTGTTTCATGTACAATTCACCGATGGCAGTGGCAAAGAATGGGAATCTGGGGCGCCAGGAGAAGCATTTTAAAACAGTACAAGTACATATGATGCATTTAACACGCTGCAAAGCGCGTCACATGCCTGCACCATGCAGGACAGTGCCCCCCTAGGATGGGGTTTGGACACCCCTGCCGTACGTTATGCATTTTATTGCAAGGACTGCGACCTGACGGAGATGCCTGAGATTTATTTTTTAAAACACTTAATACTGTTTCATGCCATTAATTGTTGCCATCTCTGAAGTTCAAAGCACATTACACTGATTCATACATAACTGAGTTCATGATACAGCAGTTGAATTTGTCAGCATGCTCCGGTTCCCTCCATGTTTCTAAGCTCACTGGCACATGCAGAGCGTGGAAAGTGGCAAGTTAATAGTGGTCCAGGCAACGAAAGTATTTCTAGATAACCTCTCAGTCGACGCAGTGCAAGAATATATGCCAGCTGCAGGTCAATTATCAGCCACGTATTAACAATTCCATGCAGAACATGTTACCATTTATATTTCAAAAAGTAACCATATGTGAGGCTGAAAGGTCAGATGAAGTCAATGAGTGTCCTTGAGTAAACAATAATGAAGTCTAGCTTTGCACTTTTACCGCTACTTTGCAAGGGTAACAGCATATGTTCATAAACCTTGTGTATCACATCCCGAAATACGTACTGTATTGTTGTTTTATCAGAGCAATACTTGCTTGAGAGTGAATTCAATGCATGAAACATGGCATGCATGTAACTGTGTCGTGGCTGATGAAGCACATTCAATCCACTGTCCAATGGCTGCAACGTCTGGACATTTAACACCGTAAAGCTGCCCTCATACGCGAGAGAGAGAGAGAGAGAAGCACATTCAAATGCAGAAATCTCACGATGATTTGAATGAAACTAATTTTTGAAATGTTTTTTTCAATTTTATTACGAGTAAATTAAATGTGTCAGTAATACATTTTAAAAGCGGCCCTATTTTCCCCATCCCGTATCAATTAGATTCAACCAAAGGAGAAGACTTCACTAATGAGCTCCCCTCGGCATCTTCCTCATCGTCCCCATCCGCGTCCTTGGCTCATTCCCTCTCATCCTCTTCCCCATCCCCTCCTGATCTCCCCCCTTTGTCTTCCCTTCCTCAACCTGAATCTCCTCTTGACACTGTCATCCCTGGTGACCTTCGCCTGGAGGTTGCTGCCCCCCATTACCGTAGCGGTCAGCTGCAGGTCAAGGTGTTCTGGAAGTGGTCTAACCATGGTGAGTTGATCGAGACACACACGACTGCTGAGGACATTGTAATCGCAGAATAATTGTTTTCCTCCATTGTGGTGCTAATAGAAGTGATCAAATCAACAAACAACCACAAAATAGAATAACCAACATGGATCTGTGGTAAATTCGCAAGTCTCTATATTTGCGTTATTGACTGAATCTTAATTTTGTCCTGATATCTTACTTGTTTAACTTACTTAAAGTATTAATTGTATGAAAATAGTGGGAAAGCGGCATATTCTCACATCTGCTCAAGTTAAAAAAGGTACCGCTGCACACTTTTTTTGCAGTGTGTAGATTCTCTTGTTGACTGAAGTGTGTCACTTATGCACTTTCATAAAGTGCACATACTCTGGGTGGAGTGACGATAAAATGTGAGTGTTCCCTGTCTAAACACCTTTCCTGCACCTATTCTAACAGAGACTTGAGCATCTTTTCTCTTCTCAAAAATTGTGGCGTAATTCAGACGGTTCTGTATCCCAGTTTTAGTAAAGCTGTATTCACCATCGCCCCCACTCCGCTCTCAACTTCACTTTGGCCATTTCTGTCCATTACCATAGCAAACAAGCACAACAGTAAAAGCGTTGTGTGTATTGCTACCGTCCTGGTCCTCTTCTCTACAGTGTGGTTCACTGGTTAGTGATATGATGTTTGTGATATGGTTGGCCTGCTTTGTGGTTTGTTGGCATTGTTTTTGTTGGATTTCATACAAAGTATGCTTGTCCCTCATCACTTGCCGTAGCGTAGGGAAAGAGAGACAGAGAGAGAGAGAGAGAGAGAGAGAGAGAGAAAGAGAGAGGGGGGGGGTGATTGGCCTTGTCCGAAAAAAGCAGCACATCTCTGTTCGACTCCTCCTCATCGATACCAATTAATTGTCTTATCATAAACACATCGGCTGCGTGGGGATAGCTGGCTAGGAGCTAGATGCAGGCTAACGGCGGCTACACAGCCAGAGCGTAAAGTGAGAGTAACACATATTTGTTCATTAAATGATGGAACGTTTAAACAAAAACGAGGTGATGTCAGTTGATTTCGTTATTTTCTGAGAAACACACAAACTTTTGCACAATCACATTCAACTGCTCATATTGATGATGTTGTTGATATGCCAGCACATTTTATTGTGAATTTTATCATAAAATGTAAGGTGAAAAGATTCTGGACTGTGAGGGCAATCATCATCCTAATGCAGCTTTACATTTATGATTCTAGTAGTATATGACTGTTTTCCACACAATTTAAAACAAAAATACATTGTTTGTGTAAGATTACAACTTTTTTCCTTGATAAACTACAAATTTGCATTTCAGTGTCATAATATCACAACTTTATTGTGTGGCCCTAAAATTCCTTGGAAGGATCCCAAGTTTGATTTCCAAAATCAAAAAAATGTTTTTTTAAGTTTAAATAAATGATAGCATGTTTTTTTGTTGTTGTTATTGTGAACAATTTCAGTTTGATCTACAGTAGGTTTTATGTTGTGAGGCATATGGAAGGTGAAAAGGTTCACAATATATCCTTTTTTCATGACAAAAATATTGTCCTTTACTGATGATTGACGACTCTATGAGAAACTCCTTAATGTTTGTAACAAAAACATTGACTGCAAATGAAATCTGGGTCTTTATTATCTTAAAAGGATGGTAGGATAGCAGGATTTTTTGCCCTGAATTGTTCCTGCAGATTTCCTCTTCTGATACAATCTACAGTAATCAGCATCGAACAAACTGTAGCTTGAGGAAAAAACAAAAACAAAAAAAAAACATGGGAGTGTCTCCACACTCGTCTGTCCTGTAGATTTTGGCAGGTGGGAAGTAAGAGGAGATATCAAATGAGTCACACATCACTTTTGACCGTCATAAAAAATGAATGTACATAAACAGGATTTTGACATGTTGGTTTTGTCCCTACTCCCATACAATGCAAACGCTCAATGTCTCTTTTGTTTTGTTATATTGCAGCCAGAAATCGTCACGCTGGTCCATACATTGTGCGATGGCACCCACATACCTGCAGCGCTAATGTTACAAGCACCGAGAGCAGAGCAAATGTGCAGGTACATCCTCATGGCTAATTAATGATGTGTCAAAGTGGCTGGTTTTGGGGTTACATGTGTGAATGTGAATCAGTGGCAGGTTGGGTTTCAACAACATAACTCATTTTTTCCCCATTGGAATGCCCCCATCTTCTGTGTTTGTGTAACCTCGCTCTTGGCCATCATCGCTTTTTCCGGCCTCACTTCTGTCATCATCTTTGGCTCTGATTTCTTAGCTTCTATTAAATTGTGTCATCTACACAGATAGCAAACACCGACAAAAAAGAAGGAAAAAAAAAGAAAATAGCACCCCTGATAGGTGTGAATCCATTCAATAACACCATAAAACAAAATGTTTATTCACAAAACAAAATACAAAATGATACAAGGAGGGAGCATTAGTCCAAAATGCAATGATGATCATTTGATCATCTGTAGTAAAGATGGGGGGCGGCCCGGTAGTCCAGTGGTTAGCACGTTGACTTCACAGTGCGGAGGTACCGGGTACCGGGTTCAATTCCAGCTCCAGCCTCCCTGTGTGGAGTTTGCATGTTCTCCCCGGGCCTGTGTGGGTTTTTTCCGGGTACTCCGGTTTCCTCCCACGTTCCAAAAACATGCATGGCAGGCTGATTGATCACTCTAAATTGTCTCTAGGTGTGAGTGAGGCCGTGCATGGTTGTTCGTCTCTGTGTGCCCTGCGACTGGCTGGCAACCATTTCGGGTTGTCCCCCGCCTATTGCCCGAAGACAGCTGGGATAGGCTCCAGCACCCCCGCGACCCTAGTAAGGATAAAGCGGTTCGGAAAATGGATGGATGGATGGATAGTAAAGATGGTAATGCACAATCAGTGCTAGCTGAAAAAGAAACGGGTTTTGCTACATTTTTGTATGAAAATTTTAGTCATTGAAAATGATTTGTTTTGTTCAGTGAAGTGCATAATTTTCTAATACGATATCTTTCATTCTTTTATCATGCCACTGTACTTGACTATCAAGTTCACATTGTTGAAAGCGATCTTTTTTCCAAGATAAAGTAAATATAGCGGTTTCCAAAGTGGAAAAAAAGCAATATGTCACTGAAATCATGAGTTTTCCCACAAACCAGGCCATCATATTTTCACCCTCCAGGGTACGCATTACACCGTTGAAGGCCTTCTGTTTGCATGTAAGTACTGGGTAGCTGTGGCAATGAAGGGTGATCCTGAGTCAGAAGCTGTTGCCTGGGTTACGACCCCAACTTGCTCCTCCCTCAGGGTCAAAGGAGGCAAAGCCTTGCCCTGCCGCACCAAAGGTATATCTTATATTCATAATCACCATTTTAATGACTGAGATTATACTGCAAGATGTTGTAAACGTTGTATCACGCACATTATTAGAGCAGGAGAACAAATACCGTCTCTTGTTTTGAAATGAAATGTCTCATATCCTTTGAGTCAGAGCGCCCCACAGCAGGCAGAAAGCTGATACTGCGCACAGAGCGCCTGACGGCAGATTTTCAACGACTCGATGGTACGCTACTGGCTGTGTTTCGCTGGAGGGTATCTCAACACGCACTGGACATGGCAGAGGTTTATGGGTTCCAATTCACTTGGACTCTGCAGTCAGGTGTAACCTTGGAAGCAAAAAGCCATGAGGACACGCTTATCTCTCAGGCGCAGACAATTGCACCGGTGAGACAGAAATAACGTGCTGTTTATACAGCCTGAGTCTGAAGTACTAGTTATGCAGCCACTCATGTGTCATCATTTCCACTATTGAAAATGTTTCTTACATTACAGTCTCAGCGGGCAGTGATAGTTCATGGCCTCCAGAGTGACAGTGTTTACCAGGTACAGCTTCAGGTTTTAACAAGCGGAGAAAGCAACGGCACTGCAGTCTTCAAGACTTTTCACACTCCTGCAGTGTGAGGTAGCATTTTTTTTCTTTTGATGGGGACATGTTTAAAAATATATATATACATTTTGTTCACCAAATCTTATCCCTCCCAAATTTCTCTTTTAGGTCCAAGTGCTACCGGACTCTACTGCACCACTCGTGTGTTCGTTCCTGACATATTCCAAACTTTCTTTCGAAATACAACTGGTTTTAATTGAAGTAGTAAAATGAGGTAGCATGTGAACATTTTCCTTCTCATCTTGATTGCCTGCCCCTCTGCTTCTCTTAAAATCAGACGAGAAAGCTGATATAAGTGTTGGGGTGTTTTTTTTGTGTTTGTTTGTTTTGTAATCATAAATATATCAGGCTACAATACTTTTGACAAGAAATTTAAACAATAAATACAACTCTACATATATGGTGTACTGTACATCACATTGCTGGGCTGGAGATGTCTGCTCAATATTCCATTTAATAAGGCACTCTACGTCACTGGAACCAAATGAATTCCGCAAAGTCGTGTTGGACACCAGTTTGGTCTTGTATTTCGTAGAAATAAAGACTCTCAATTGAAAATGTTCTAGCACTGACCTCAAGTACTTTGTATGAATAGAAGCTGTAGATTGTGTTTATTGCAGTTGGACTGCAACATTGTCTTTCATGTGGTTCATTTTGCTAGAGTAAATAAAAATAGTCTGTATTTCAGATATTGTTATTTTATTAACAGTTGTATTCAAATATGTATGAAGACTTGTGCTTTTTATATTGTTGGTCTGTTCCAGCAAAGAATATTCATCATGACTTTTCCACACTGTTTTTGCTGTACTTGTGGAAGAAACAGAACTTATGTTGAGATGCCCTTTATGTTGCCTGTTTTATATGCTTTTTTTGTAATTCTATTTTAATTATGCTGATTTGTGCACAATTTCTTCTACTTCTTCATAAGACAGTTGTATTTATTGTTTGTTTTTGTAATTAAATAGAAAGTAACGATGTTTTGTGTCAGTGTTTTTATGTGTACTGTGGCAGTTGAATTATATTTTTCTTCAAGAGAATATAAATGTAATATCGCCTCCCAGACAAAATAAATAGAAGGGGCTGGTTGTTGTGATGGCTGTAAGAACGCTTGTTTGGGTAGGCGAAGGTTCGCTCGAGAGTGTCTCCGGAAAGGGCCGAAGCAAACTGACGTCGTGACGTCATCAACTTGCGCCGTCTATTTGATGCTCGTATCTTCACATTATGTGAAACAAAACTCTTACCACCACAACGACAATGTAATGTATCCGACTGTTTGTTTTATGCTTTTTCTCAACCTTTCACTTTATGCACAGTAAGAATTTAAAGTTTCTCGTCAAAACTTCCTCTTTGTCCTCCGACGCCTCGTCTCTGTTTTGGCTCTAGCTAAAGCTAAAGCATTTAGCTTCAGGTTGGCGACTAACTTTAAAAGTCCACGAAATAACTTACTAGCGCATGCATACAGAGGTGTGATTCCTAAAAGATATATAGATATATATAGAATAACCGAAATTACGCAGTCCTTTTAGTTTGACTAAAGTCCTCCATGATTTTACCAGTGGTTTTATATTAGCAGGCGCTATGACGGGTTTATTGCATGTTTGCAAATTATCAAATTACCTCCCTTGAATGCTGACAATGGTTTGTGAGTTTTTCAAAACAGCAATTTCTTTTTTTGGGGGGCGGGGGTCGGTAAAAATGTGAGTTATCGTAAATTTCAGTCTAGTATCCAGCTTTCACCTTCGCTCAATGTGTCACGCTTAACAAAGTGCAATACTTTGCATAAATTAATGCAAGAACCTGATCGGATTCAGTTAATTGTCAGTGGTCATTTCATTTTGCTGGATGACCACAGAAAGGTAAAGATTTCGCTGGTAATTGTCAGAATATTGTGATGTGCTTTCTACCGTCTTCATTATTATTTTATTGTTTTATTGTTGTATACAGTATGATATTTGCTCCATGTACAGCACTTTGTATACAGCGGTGGCTGTTTTAAAGTGCTCTATAAATACAGTTGAGTTGAGTAAATAAATTATATTACACAGAAAGTAGTCCTTACAAATGCATTGCACGCTGTATGTGAAGTTACTCATAGCCGGTTGTTCACATTTGGAACTTTTTTTTTTCTTTAGGAGTCAAGGGTGAAGTAATCCTGATACAAAGTATAGTACATAACTGTCACTGAGCCACAATCAACACCACTAGGTGCTCGACTGTCTCGACCATTAACATTGACTGGGAAAAGCCAGAGCACAAACACTATTCCTGATGTGAGGCCAGTTTAAAAAGAGAGGAGGCAACAACAAAAGAAGAACAAAAAGTACATACCACATGGATAATAAGAGCAATAGGGAAGAGGAGATCACAGTTTGAAGAGCCTGGGATGGGGTTAAATTACCAAAGGAGTACGTCATGGTTTACAGCAACTCTGCTTCCCCAATGAAAACATCTCTTACACTTAATATAACAGAGGCAGCACCTCCTGAGCAAGCAGCACCTCCTCCAGTGCTGCCTCTTACAGATACTTCTAACCAGTCACTCCTTGACTCAGATGTTTCCTCCATTTCCGATGTCTCCCAGCCCACTATTCAGACTCTTGCAGAAGCTGGGTCACCAGTTATAACTCCTAAAATAAAATCGGACTGGTCCTCTCCGCAGTCAACAACCGCCATTCAAGGTACAGTCAATGGCCGCACATCAGGCAGAAAGAGGACTCCCAAGACCTGTGACTGTTGCGGCCCCATCAGAAGAGGACAAGATGTCAGAACCTCAGGTAGAGGGAGGAGAAGGGGGCGAGGCAGAGGAAGGGGCACCGGAAGGAACCTCCACGGTACCCCACAACGGAAAAGTGATGACAAGCTCATGAGAATTACTGACTTTGACCTGACAGGGGATGAGTTCACTGAAGCTGAGGATGAAAATGACATGCAGGACGGTATGAACATATCAAATACCCAGTCAGAGTCAACTGCTCCTTCACGTGACTGTATCTCTCTGCTGGATGGGGACGTCTTGGATAATGGCCAGCTGAGTTTCCCAGAAATCATGATGCCAGCTACGTTGGCTTCAAAAGGGGAGGCGATCATTGGAATTAAACCAGGAGTTGAAAATGACGTAATTGACAATTCAAAAAATGCCCCGACTCTGTCAGAGTTGGTTTGTCATCAGGAGCATGTGAACTGTATAACAGATGCATCACAGATTGGAAATGGAGATTCACTCAGTTTGTCCGAAGCAGAAACTGAAGCGGAGACACTTGAGGACAAAAGCAGTGTTAGTCAACAAGGAAATGGAACACTTTGCTCATCCAGAGTGTCAGCTTCTCCTTCAAGGCCAGGGAGTCCTCAGAACCATGATGCAGAGATGCATGTATCAGTAGATTCTGACAGAACCGACTCATCATCTCGTTGTCTCTCACCGACTCTGTCCATTGGAAACGGCACCTCACCCGCAGACCACAGTCCCAGATCCACACCCATGGAAATGGACAGTGCAAATGAAACAATGGTTTCTTCTTCACAACATTATCCTGTTACGGTATGCGGCACGCAGCACTGCTGCCCACTGATAGACCACCGTTTGTACTGTAACCCCGGAACTTGGGAGAACGTGGCAAGTCCTATTAAGAATATGTCAGAAGAAATAGATGGACAAGACATGGATGGCGTCGTGGAAAGTGATGATATCCGGCAGAGACTTATTCATCTGGTCCATGGTAAGATTTGTGTTTTGGAACATACACTGTAGTCTTCACGTTCAGGTATATCCGAATCCATTCATCATCACAGTTTTTAACAATAGAAATCCCTGATATCACGGGTGTCAAACTCGAGGCCCGATGATAGATCTGGCCCGCAAAAGCAAACAGTGTGCGTCAACTGCCACGATCCTTGCTGAAGTCTGTCCCGAAATGTCAAATAGTCACGTGTGATAAATAACGTTGAGATTTTGCACTTCTTTTGTTACCCTGTTGACAGTCACTTGAGCAACAATTGAACAAACAACGAACAAATGGTTGCCTGATTTCAAAACGAGTAATCCATTTTTTGTGTACACGTAATAATACGATGTGATTAAGAGGCATTTATTCGATTTCACTGTCGTCACGGCTCTCCAAGGGAAGACTTTAACTCCAAAGTGGCCCATGACAAAAATGAGTTTGACCCCCCTGCCTCACATAAAGTAACAAGAACATGGATGGTTTCTCCTCTTATTCTTAAAACGGTGTTTTATTTTATATAGTGAATAATGATAAGCACAGTGATAGTCCTAAAATCATGAATATGTACTGTGATCCACCAGAAATACTTAAGTGTAATTGACCTTTTTAATGCAGTGTTGTTGTTGTTTTTAATGTTGAAACAATGCTGTCAACGTTTTAGACTTTTTGGAGAGCTTCTACATAAAGTATGGCAGTTTCATTCCCCTCAGTGAGACAGATGTCCTGGAATATCTGAAGATGAAAGGCAACTGCGACAACTTCAGTAAACTGTTAGTGCATGTACACACAGCATTTTTATGTTAGATGTGTTTAATGCAGTCATGCACTGTGCTCACCATATGAGCATTTATGTTTTAGGGGACTAAACATCCAACGGGAAATGGCGCAGTATAAGGCAGCACTAGCCTCTGCACCTGTAGCTGGCTTCATGGTCATCTATAACAAACATACGTTGAGCCTGGAAGATCTTGGCACGCTGGAGGACCAGAATTGGATAAATGACCAGGTAGGAGAAAGTTAAAATCTACATTGAGATGTAGGGGTGGGTCAAACAAATCGATTCGTCGGTGTATTGCAATACTTGCCCTCGCAATTCATTACCGATTAAATAAATCCTCCAAATCCTGAATTGGGCCAAATCGAATGGCTGTTAGTCGGGCGATACACCATACGAACACAAAAACATGTTAGAAGTCGCTGTCCTCAAAATGTCCACAGAGTGGAAGATAGGGCTGGTTTTGTTAAAAAAAAAGAAAGAAAACAAATCAATATCAAATCGATTTTCCTTTTCGTAGCCCGATGTTGCTTCATTGAACTATAAATGGATCCTTTTAATACATATTTTTTCCATAAATTCATGTGACTTGTCGTGTCGCACAAGATCTTGTCACTACGCGAGAGTAGCATATCAAAACCACATGGCAGAAGAACTGTAATCAGTGCCAACAAGCTTATATCAAGCTTGTAGCCCATCGCATTGATCATGACACAAGAAATAGCTCTGTTGCAAAAAGATTGGTGACCTTTGATTTAGAGTGTTCCATTAACTTGCCATGCATGTTTTTGGAATGTGGGAGGAAACCGGAGTACCTGGAGAAAACCCGCGCAGGCACGAGGGGACCATTCAAACTCCACGCAGGAAGGCCGGAGCCGGAATCAAACCCTGCACCTCTGCGT